GGGCAGAGCCTCATGCTGACACCACTACCAGTTCGTCGAACCATACATCATTGCCGCCGCTACCAGTTTGCCTGAATGGGAGCGAACTGGTAGCATTTCACCCGTTTCTGACCTTAGGCTCTTCTTGTCTTTTTTTTTTTTTTTTTGCAGAATGCGTTAATATTGGCCTTGTCATCGAAATCATGGGACATACAGAGAGCCAACGGAGCTACTCCTGAGTAACTCAGGCCTGTGCAGAAACTGCTTCATGCCATCATCACTTCTTTTTGAGATTCTCTTTTGTGACTGGCGGCTCTTGCACGATGCTACCTGAGCCTTCTTGTGTAGACTGGAAAACTGTAAATAAAGCCAATTAAACACCTGTATAAATTGGGAGCGGGGGAGGGAACAAACCAAGGGGGAAATACCTTATTTTTTTTTTTCTTACTAAATATTGTAAATTCCTTGAGCTTGGCTTAAAAAAAATAAAAAGGTGAGGACAAACCTATCTGCAGTGCGACCGAGACTAAGCAGGGATTTGCATCAGGATTTTGACTTTATTCTGTATATATCAGGTTGTGTGTCTGTCATCATCAGTGGTTGATGTCACTCATCCCGGCTCCCTTACTGGTTGTTGTTTTTTTAAATGGATCCTACATGCCCGTGAACAGGTTAAAATGCTGTCAGGATAATCTAATTGCAGCTAGCAATGACTCAGAAACGATGAACGTTGGCTAACTTTTCAGGGTTTTTTTTTAAAATATATATTCTGAAGTTTACATTTAGCAATTTTTCAGATACGGGCTGACGCACTTCACAGTCCAGCTTGGCATATCTCAATGCACCTCCTGCTTTCCCCCAGAAATAGTTTATTTAAGCCAGCATGAAAACAACAGAAAAGGTTCATTTTTCATTTACCAAAAAGAAAGAAAGAAAGAAAGAAAGAAAGAAAGAAAGAAAGAAAGAAAGAAAGAAAGAAAAGAAAAGAAAAGAAAAGAAAAGACAAATTTTTCTAGGAATAAATAGAATAGAAATAATTGGAATAGAATAGAAATAATTGGAATGGAATGGAATGAAATAAAATAGAAAGAATAAATAGAATAGAATAGAATAGAATAGAATAGAATAGAATAGAATAGAATAGAATAGAAATAATTGGAATGGAATGGAATGAAATAAAATAGGAATAGAATAGAATAGAATAGAATAGAATAGAAATTGGAATGGAATGGAATGAAATAAAATAGAAATAGAAAGAATAGAATAGAATGGAATAGAATAGAATAGAATAGAATAGAATAGAATAGAATAGAAATAATTGGAATGGAATGGAATGAAATAAAATAGAAATAGAAAGAATAGAATAGAATAGAATAGAATAGAATAGAATAGAATAGAATAGAATAGAATAGAATAGAAATAATTGGAATGGAATGGAATGAAATAAAATAGAAATAGAAAGAATAGAATAGAATAGAATAAATAGAATAAAATAGAATAGAAATAATTGGAATGGAATGGAATGAAATAAAATAGAAATAGAAAGAATAGAATAGAATAGAATAGAATAGAATAGAATAGAATAGAATAGAATAGAATAGAATAGAATAGAAATAATTGGAATGGAATGGAATGAAATAAAATAGAAATAGAAAGAATAGAATAGAATAGAATAGAATAGAATAGACTGATGGACAGTGGAAACAATAAATCAATGGAAAAATAGAATAGAATAGAATAGAATAGAATAGAATAGAATAGAATAGAATAGAATAGAATAGAATAGAATTCTTTATTGGCCAAGTGTGATTGGACACACAAGGAATTTATCTTTAGTGCATAAGCTCTCAGTGCACATAAAGAAAAAAAATAAAATATATTCATCAAGAATCATAAAGAGACAACACTTAGCGATAGTCATAGGATACTAAATAAGCAATCAAATCATACCAGGAAACAATCAAAACAATATAAATTGTAAAGATACAAGCAACATGGATATAGCCATAAGTGGAAGAGAGAGGTACTAGTAAGGATGAGAAGAACTTACAGTCTTAGTAGTTAATTTGTTGTGGGAATGAGTTGTTTAGCAGAGTGATGGCATTCGGGGAAAAAAAACTCCTTGTGTCTTGTTGTTCTGGTGTGCAGTGTCCTATAGTATTTGTTGGAGAATTCACCGCTCTAAAATATACATAGCAGGGAAAAGAAAAGAAAAATACACATTTATGCCCAAAGTCGAGGGGAAATGCTTGCCATCCCAAGCTTGGATTTTACAGGAACATTTAATTTTCAAAAGAAGGGAGACGGCCTGGGCTTTCGTTTAGACCCCCTCTTTCTATACGTCCCCGATGTTTGCAAGGTGTAGTTGTTCTGTCCCAGCTACGGACCCCAAAGAACACAGCACACCACAAAGTCTATACAAAACTTAATTTACTAAACTAACTCAGTCTTTTTCAAAACAAAGGCTGTTAATAAACTTTCTTAACAGCCTACAAGAAACCAAAGATAAAGTAATCACAATCTTACTATGGTTGGCCGAAAGCCCAGAAGCAATTTGCAGAGAATCCAGACGCGAAGGAGAATGAAGTAAAAGTTGTTCCCTGCAAATTGCTTCAGTCGGCATTCCTCCTTAAAT